ATTAACTACTCGACGAGTCCGGATCTTAGACTTTGTACTGCATTAGATACATTTTATTTATTATTATTATTTTTTTTTTCGTGAAAATTGCAATTACTTTATAGTGTATTTCAGTAGGATTTGAGGTATCTTTTCCATGTTGTTCAGACATTTATCTTTTCTGCTGCCTGGATAAACTAAAATATTTTCAACAGTAGCATTGCTACTACAGTAAATCAGAGAAATGCATTTAGTCAAAACCTGAGTATGAGTATGAGCATGGACTATGTGGAAAAAATACAAACACACATTAATATTTTTTTGACGGAAAAATTAACACATACAGTTACTGTGTGAGTACAAGAAAAAGACAGACTAAGATTTAGAGCAAATGAAGTAAAATGTGTAAGTATCATCAGCATGAAGAAGCAGCCATGACACAGAACTACAATTTGTTCCTTGTTTCCCATTTTAAATCACAAAACATAATAAATGAATGGCATGAAAATTTTTATTTTTCAAATTACAAATGCTTAACAAATTTAGGAATGAAAAAAAAGACAATGGAGTAAAAAAATTTAAATTTTTGAATAATCATTTTTATGTAACATACTTTTTCACAATAAAATTATAAAATAATTGTGGTCTAATTGAAACTACAATATGACTAACTATTACAAAAATATGGAGGGCACTTCTTTGTTTCTATACATATGTACATTGTCTGTTCTAAAAGTAAATAAAATATTCCCTTTCTGCACTGCAGGAGGGTAAGGAAAGAAAAATGGAAGTCGAGACAGGTGACGAAAGAACTTGGGTATAAAATTTGACCTTCCCATTATTGCAATCAGTACATTAGCCAAGTCCATAGTAGTTTTTATGTCTTGTCACAGATAAAAAATCTAGAGCAGATTCCAATAGCATTACACAAGAAAACTCTGCATGAAACTCCAAAAAGCTTTCTGAGACACTGTAATTGTTGAAAACACCTTACAGAGATACTGTTTAATCCTCAGTCCAAATCCTCAAATGACAAAGATTTGTGGATGATAGGGAGGGTGCTGAGAATGAACAGTATGCAGGATGTGCTTCAAAAATTGAGATCAATGTTTTGAAGCACATCCTGCATACTGGTAATCAAGTATTTCAGATGAAAGGTTGAATGCTGTGTTATGAAATTCCAAACAAACAGTTTTTTAACCACCACCAATTCCCTCTGTCATACTTCACCAGCTGTGAGGGAATTTTTGGCTAAAAAAACATAGAATATAATTTACTTCTATTAAACAGCATATGAAAGGAACATTTCAGGCCAAAGCGTACATATTTATCTAAATTAACAACTTCTTTTTTTTAAAAATGCATTATAATGTCTTATGATATTATTTAAATCAATGAAAAACATTTAAAGCACATTAAGTAATGACACATTTTTGAAAATCTGGATTTAATAAAAGATTTTCACTCAAAGACAATATGTTTTTATTTTTTTTTATGACGTGAGTTTTCACACCATATGTATTACTCCTTGCATCCTCTATTCAGAAAGGATACAGGAAGTGACAGCACATGCCCACTGTCCCCCTAGGAACACACCTACCACTTCCTCTAAAAGTTTTATTGCATTGTTTGTTAGGAGATTCAGCTATTGTAATGAAACTGACTTGTTTTTTTCTATTTTCTTTAATGGTCAGAAGTGCTACCACCCACACACACAAATTTTTAAAACAAAATTTTTCTTTTTCTTTCTTCTTCTTGTAGGGTATAACTCAATTATATTTTGCAAAATTTAAAAGACCTTTAACTAGATTATATTTGTCTTAAACTCCAGTATTTGTATAATGCTGTATTTTATTAAGTAACATAAACAATACTAATTCAGAAGTCAAACAACAAAAATCAGCGTTAATTTTCACAGAACTAGTTTCGATGGTTTTACCGAACCACCATCCTCAGCTGCAAAACCGCAAAAAAAAAAATGCGTTTTTGCACCTGAGGATGGTGGTTCGGTAAAACCATCAAAACTAGTTCTGTGAAAATTTTGAAAATTAACGCTGATTTTGTTGTTTGACTTCTGAATTAGTACTTATTCGGCGTGTTATTGTGTCTTAACATAAACAATTTTTGAAAGAAAAACTTTGAATATTGTACAGTGCTAAAAACCAGTTACCTTTTTCTAAGGAACGGAGGTTTTTTTATCTATTGTACTTAAGCATCCCCCAACTACCAACAAGATGGTATGCTGATTTTATTGGAAAGGACATGCCAAATTAGTCCTCAAAGTATTATGTCTTATTTAGTACTGCATTGTATTATTACATTTTGGAATTGAATTTTCTGTTATATTAAGCATGTGTTTTCACAATAAGAAGAATTTAGTCAATCAATCTTAAACTGAGTATTATATTTCTACATCAAAGTTGGCAGATCAACCTGTATTATAATGAAAATATTTTCATCGACAAAAATTTTAGACACTTTGTGAAAACACTGGAACATAAATGTTCTATGTCCTTGTGGAACTATTTTGTCAAGAGACTTTACAAAAAATTTTCATTGGGCATTTAAAAGACACTGGACATTTTAACAACTTAAGACATTTAAAAATTATATTTGTGCTAATTTATTATTTAGTTTATTTACAAATTACATTGTTGTTGTAATACTTGTAAATTATATGTAATCTGTATACGAGAAAGGTCATGAATAATGACAGGGCATAGGAAAACCTGCAGGCTATGTCCTTGGTGCTTCCTCATGTCTTTCCTCATATGATAAACTTTCTCTTCCTTCACTAACTCACTTCTACCACCCTGCTCTCTCAACCTTTCTTTTGAAGGGGGAGGAGGAATACATAAGATATAACAAAATACGAAAGCTGCTTTAAAAATAATTGGCAACCTTAAAATTAACTATTCTAGATTTGGTGCTCTCCCCCCCCCAATTTCATCTGTTCTCCCTAATTCAAGATCTTTCCATATTATGTAAAAACTTAAAATTAACCAATCACAGATTAGTGGTTATGCATCAAACTTAATATAAATACTCTTGGCACAATAGCTATGTCATTCGTTTTCTAGCTCCTGCCACGCTGCCAACTACATGTTTCTCTGCCTGTCTTTCTTCTTATTCTAAATTGACGTCATATCCTCATTAACCATTGTATGTAAGAAGTTATCCTATTCAAATATTACTTAAAAATATCTTGTCCGTGAAACCAATTGGATATGGATGAAAATAGAGACTGGTGATGTGCGAAAATAAAGATTGGTGATTTGTAAAAACCCAGTTTCATCATCTTCATCTGCATGCATTCAACCCTCAACCATGACGGATATCAAAAGCTGTTAAAAGTTCCAGTGTTTTCTTCTACGGATTAAATTATGACATATTTATGTATATATATATAATGCATAAATATGTATGTATACATAAATCAAAATAATAGCACTGGATATAAAAATGTTTTTTCTTCCATACAGTATTATTACCATTGCTCACTTTGAAATCATTGAGTTTGTTAATCAAAAATTCGTTAAAGTTTTACAAAATATGAAATTGATATTAAAACAAATTTCAAATTCTAAATTCAGGTTTTCAGATGCCCATATTTAGTGGAAGGTTACATTATTCAAAATTTGATGGCTCTAGGTACCGTTGTTTTATCGAAATGCAAGAAACATACATACATTTATGCAGATTCTTTATTATTTAATTTCTTTAAATGTAACACAGAGCAATAATATTTAGTGGCAACAATCTGAAAAGTGAACCGACATTTATAGTGAACTAACGCAAAATGCCAAAACGAAATGTACCATTGATAATTAAAAAATATATGTTATATATTATAAATTCAAATCACAGTCAAATTAATATATCAATTAAAAATTGCAGTGCTGTCTATAAGTGAAAGTCTGAACTGCAACTGTAAGCAAACATTTCATGTATGTAAGGAGGGTGGGGGAGAGAAATACAGGAATGAGGAATAGAACTTCCCCATTGCAATGATCCTAAGGTAAATGCTAGATGGAGAATCCCCTGTTATGCGGCCGGTATGGCGTGCATCTTGAAAAAACAAATATATGTATTTAAACTTTTATGTTCTTCCTCTACTGTTTTTCGGACAATTTGGGGCAAATGCTATAAATTTGGGACCAAAAACAATTAGTTATAAAAATTCAGGGGAGGGACTGTAAATTTGGGATGTATGGTCACCTTAATAAAACACATCACATCTGCCAACTTTGTGGAAATAAAAATCAGACTTTTGGAAAAATTCAGGAAAAAGTATAAAGGGGTTTAATTTCACATAGAAAATTTATAAATATCTTAATATTAAAAAAAGTGCATCTAAATATGAGATCAAACATATATTAAAATGAAAAATTATATAACTGAAATTAATTAATACATTTATTACAGCTTTTTTTATTTTTGCTAAAAAATTGCTATAAGGCAATTAAAAAACTATACTTTATCATTTTGTTTGAATATAACAATCAAGAGTTTCAAACTTGCCAAAATTTATGGTACAGGCCCCCCCCCCAAAAAAAAATTCTAAGAAACCTTTTATTTTAATTTAATGACAACATAATAACACTATTATATTTACCTAAAAAAATTATCAACTTAATTAAAGTTACTGTAGTCAAACTGATCTTAAAATCACTAAAACATCTAGGTCACCAAACTTAGAAATGCAAGTTGAAAAAATTCCTATTCCGAAAACTTGTTTTTGATGTATTAAAAAAGAAGAATTAAATGGAAATTCAAATCTCTGCCAAGAGTAAGTGCTTAAGATATAAATTTCATGAATAAATCACCAAGCTGGTATAGTTTTTAGTGCATTTATAAAAAATTACAAAATTCTTAAAAAATGAATTTTGTGTGCAAGATTCTAAAAACACAAGTTTTGAAATAAAATTTTTTGAATTCACAAAACTTGCAAATATAACATCATAAGTACATATTTCACCTGAATGTCAGAATATATAAATACATACAATTAAAATACTTACAAGCTTTCAAATATAGCATCAACTTCTTCTCTACCACATAAGTACCGATAAAAGCTTAAAAAGTGTTCAAAGGTGAATTTTTCTGGATTAATAGTCTCATTCTAAAAGTAAAGCAATTGGAAAAGTAACCAATTTTATTGTAAACTGAGTTTAATTTTAATATACTTAATAATGTACCTTGAAGAACAATTATGAAACTAGCATTACTACAAGAAAAATGTTTATCATTGTTAAACTCTTGTTTAAGTGTAAAATTATTACTCAATAATAATCAGAAAAATAAATGGAGAATCAATTAAAATGTGAATATGTAAACAAGAACACAGTGTTTTACTTTGATTGAAACTTACCTTTCCAGTTGATACACCACAAAGTTCTAAAGCTTTTTCAACTCTTTTTTTATCTTCTTTATTTTGAGCAAACAGTTTCACAACACTGCAGAATATGGGAGAAGAAATGCTTAATTATAGTATAAAAAGCATTAAGCCTTTTTATTTTGACTGCCAATTTGCATCACATTAAACATTTTGAAAAAAAAATATTTAAAAAAAATTAAATTCTAACAAAAAATTTATAACAAATTATTTCATTTTACTAAAACATACTAGTTTAATCCAATATTATGTGTAACGAATGCAAGTATGAAATTAGGATTCTTTATTAAACACATATTTTTGTATGCAGTTTTCATTATGGCTTAAAGTATCATCCTAAATTTTCTACAAATGCTTTTTGGCTGACCAACAGTGCCCATCCAAACCTTATTTAATCAGGTAATTTCAACTTTGATATTTAAAGCATTTTAACTCCATGATAGCTTTTCAGTCATTCCAGAGTTTTCATTTTATGCATGCTCAATTATGTTTTAAAGTACTAAAGAATAGAACCACAAGAAGCAGAAAGTAATGACAGTTTTTGAGTAAGTAGGTAAATGATGTTTGTAACAACAGATCATTCTATAGTGAACCTAAGATGGTTATAAAAGAATAATGTAAGACAAAGAGCACCTGCAAAGTTCCAGGACTATGTTTAACATCCTAATAGAACCCTCAAATCCTAATTAGTGGCAATAATTAACAACAAAGTATTTCAACTTGCTTCCATTCACATTATTTGCTTGCAGAAAGAGCTTGAATTCAAATCTTTGATTTCATGCAACTAAGACTCATCATTACAAATTCAGTGACTGAACTGCAAGGAAGGAAAGCACTTTCATATAATGCAACTATTGTCATGCAGCTTATTGGAAATAACAATCTGTTATTAATTACAGTACAAAGTCCGAAATCCGGCCATCCATTATCAGGAATGATCTAAAATCCGGACCTCAAAACTACCACCAGCGTTTTTCTATAGGCTTTACATATGTGCAGTTGATTCCCTCCTCCATGCATAATAACACATCTGGAGAATACTGATTCTTAATTTCATGTCGACACTAAGTAATAAATGAAGATTATATAAAAGAAGTTTTCATTGTGATCACAATGCTTCTCAATCATCAATCAATTAATGAATGAAGAAATCTGTAGTATGGTTCTAGATCCAGAAAATACCACTATTGACAGTGAAGAAAGTGACAGAGAAGTTACTTCATATAATGCAACTATTGTCATGCAGCTTATTGGAAATAACAATCTGCTATTAATTACAGTACAAAGTCCGAAATCCGGCCATCCATTATCAGGAATGATCTAAAATCCGGACCTCAAAACTACCACCAACGTTTTTCTATAGGCTTTACATATGCACAGTTGATTCCCTCCTCCATGCATAATAACACATCTGGAGAATACTGATTCTTAATTTCATGCCGACACTAAGTAATAAATGAAGATTATATAAAAGAAGTTTTCATTGTGATCACAATGCTTCTCAATCATCAATCAATTAATGAATGAAGAAATCTGTAGTATGGTTCTAGATCCAGAAAATACCACTATTGACAGTGAAGAAAGTGACAGAGAATTTACTTCATATAATGCAACTATTGTCATGCAGCTTATTGGAAATAACAATCTGCTATTAATTACAGTACAAAGTCCGAAATCCGGCCATCCATTATCAGGAATGATCTAAAAAATCCGGACCTCAAAACTACCACCAACGTTTTTCTATAGGCTTTACATATGCACAGTTGATTCCCTCCTCCATGCATAATAACACATCTGGAGAATACTGATTCTTAATTTCATGCCGACACTAAGTAATAAATGAAGATTATATAAAAGAAGTTTTCATTGTGATCACAATGCTTCTCAATCATCAATCAATTAATGAATGAAGAAATCTGTAATATGGTTCTAGATCCAGAAAATACCACTATTGACAGTGAAGAAAGTGACAGAGAAGTTACTGAAAACGAGAAAATTTTGATTGACAAATTAGTCAGAATTCTCAAAACAGCAGATACAGGACTTCAACAATGTAACTAAACAAGAGATTATGTCTGTCTAGAGAATTAAAAAGAAAGTATTAGCACCAAAAACTAAAAAACTTAAACCAGATTTCGGACTTTGTACTGTATTCCCTTAACATATCAGATTTGGCATCTGTAGACCAGTTTCTGTCCTCTATATTCAAATTTCACTAAAGGAACATATTTTGAGAGTATTTCAGGATTCAGAAAATAGGATCTAATGAAAGAGTGTTTTAAAAGTTAGCTGCTATTAGTTTTTTCTTCTGGTTTCAATGAAATTTATTACTAAAGTTATATGGATTCACTGTGTATGCTGGTTGCTGAATCTTGTAAAACATGTAACTCTGATCGGGGTGAAATTTATTAATCTGCTTAAACACACAGGCAGAATCTTATTTTAACAGCATAGATTATTAATTTTTCTCTTTCTAAATAAGTATTTTAATTAAGCACTTCAAGCTTAAAATGCCTAGTGTAGCCTCTGAAAGCCATCACAAAGTTAAACTCTATAGAAGTTAAAAAATCTCCACAGGAAGTGATCAAAGCTTTCTGGTTATGATCATAACAATTCTCTTGTGTGATGTTTTCCTTACTTCCTTCCCACCTTTTCCTTTTCTTTTTTTTAAATACCTCACAGCAATAGATATGATATAACTTTTATATCTACTTTGCACAACATTCAATAAAATCATCAAGATACTTTCTTCTACCTTTCAGTAGCTGCTATTGTTAACTGCAGACAAACTGATGTGCTAATGTTTTTCAATCTTAATTTTTTGATGTGATCACTTTGCAATGACAAAGACAAAAAATGACTTACAGACTGACAAAAAGGCACAAAACAAAAAATGACTTACAGACTGACAAAAAGGCATAAAACAAAAAATCACTTACAGATTTTCTGACACAGCATGCAAGTTTGATAGCTTTCTTTTTCATAGTTTGACTAAACACAATATTTTATTAATGTTATCTGTTTATTTTTTGAGTTGCAGATGGTATTTTAATATTAACTTAGCTTTAAAGAGTGACTTTTAAAAAACATATTTTTCCAACATTTGGAAGCTTTATTTGAAATACATGGTCACAAATTTTCACTTCAAAGGTGAAAAAAATGTCTCATTTGACATTTAGCAATATATTTATTTAGCAATATAATATATTTTCAAATGAACTATTTTATAACATGTATTATAAAATAGTTCATTTGAAAACAGAAATTTCTATAGAAAGGATGAAACATTGCACACCACAAATCTTCTCATGATAAAAAAAATTGCCATTTGAATTCAATCACATATATTATGAAACAATCGTGAACAAAATATATAACCCATATGCCTATATATTAAAATAAAATCAGATTTATTTAGAGCTAAGAAAAACTTACTTTTTTACTGGCACTTTTCCTTCACGATCTGTCATAAGCTGTATCTTTGTATATATTTTTTCCAAAAAAGTAGTTGCAGGTGCATTCAAAGCAAGCAGATTATAAGCCATCTTCATCAAAGCATCAGTCCATTCCTATAATAGCATTTTTTTAAAATTTATTTCCACATTATATCTATCCTCTTATAAATAAGTTATAAAATAATGGAAATCATAAGTGAATATGCTGCATCATTCTGGTAAAACATATTGTATTAAAAAAGCAAGTGCTTTACTTTGAGGTTTAGCTACTGCTTTTACAGCCATTTTTTGTTAAACTTAACATCAGGCTCAAAAGAGTGCAAAAGTTAAGCCTAATCGAGGAGCCTACAGTTCTAATAATAAAATTGGGTATTGATTCAAATCTGTTCAAAGATTTACTGAACATTACTTCAGTATAAAGAGGCTGAATTAAAAAAAAAAAATAATAATGAAAATATTTTGACACATTTCAGTAAAACCAAATAATAAAGAAATGCACTGTCCTTTTTAACTACAGTGCAATCATTGCACTGCTTTAATAATAAGAATGAAAATGCAAACAAAACTGAGAAAGGAGGGTAATCATGGCCTATTTTAATGCAAGCATTCTGCACCCCAATGGAAGCAAACCAAAGGAATGAAATGGTTTAAGTTTTAATCAACTATGGTAATACCAGAATGTAATAGAAAAGAAAACTGCCACCTCTCATCATAACTGAAGGTAACCAGACGCAAAAAATTCAAAATTTATGGTGTTAGAAACAAACCTAAACAGATATGTAATTTCCTTTCGATGGGAGTAATAGAATAAAGCTTATTCCAAAAATTAAAATAAAAGTAAGGGTGATGCAGTTTATATAAGATCAATAGAGGAGTTATTTCTCAATGGATGAAATATCGACTATAGATCGAATTGATTATATATATGTGTGTGTGTACATAATTGATTTCTGTAGTAGAATGCAGGCGGTTGAATCCGTAATGAACAGCGAGAATTTTGATGTAGAATTCTGAAACGCCGATCCACAATGAATAAGAAATTTGGTAGTCGAGGTATATTTAATTCAACTTTTATTTCAGTAAACATGTTGCAGCCACAATCAACTTGGCACATTAATTGTGCTTATTCAAAAAAATTTACATTTTAGATAAATTTTTTGTAAGGAAGAAGGAGCAGACAGACTACAGTGCAGCTAGGCCACAGCATTGAAAACAAGTGAATTAAGTTCAGGGTGAAATCTTAATTCAGACTGAATTAGTTTTGGTTCTCAATGCATTTTGATTGGATAATTCATACTGCTGTGAAATGACTATTGGCTGTTTGAGTTTTAGTTCCATTTGCATCATCATAATTATGTAAGAATCATATGACATTGATTAGTCTTGAAATGATGCAGTGTAAATAGAGGTTACTATTTTTAGAATACAGAAGGGAAATTAATTTATGTTGCTAATTTAATCTTTTATATATTCTTTACTTTTCTTACACACACACATATATATAGTATATATACATATACTGTATTACTTTGGCATATAAGTCACACCTATAATTTCAGCCTATATTTTTTTTAATTTTTAGGTGTATTCGCCATATCACTTGCACAAAGAAACCTGAAAGATACATGTACCACATTCTATCTTTTGAAGTCATTCATTCAAAGAATTTTTCCCATGCTTTCTCATAATGGTATACCGAAAATTGGTAACTCATAAAGGGAACAATATGCGTGTGGGCGAAATTCTTCAGAGAGTAAATAATTCTGCAAAAAAGGTGGGTTGCAATCATTACAGATGTGCCCAAGAATGTTATACTAGGGTTTCAAGAAATAGTAAATATGGCTCTTTTAGTAGTAATAGCCTATTTAGTAGTAAACATGGCTTGTGCCAAATGAAAAAACACGGTGTGGGTTTCAAATGCAAAGTCATTCAAATTGTAAAAGAAAACAGAAGTCTTGCTACAGCAAGGATGTTTAGAGTTGGTAGAAACCCAATACGTGAGTGGAAGACACAATCACAGTGAATAATATACTACAATAAATGCGCTTTGTGTAGAGGAGTAACGGAATGGCCTATCCTAGAAGAAAGTTTTGCGAACTGGGTTCTAGAAAATAACCAGAATGGATTAATTGTAATAAGAAACAGTGTACATTTATTTGCCATAAAGTGGACCAAAAAAAAAAAATGCAAATGAAAGAGAAAACTTTAAAGCAACTTTGAGTTGGTGTAGTCAATTTATGGCATGGAATAATTCAGCTCCACGAGAAAAAAGTTTCATAAAGGCCTCCAAAAGATTTTGACAATAAATTTGTAAGTTTCTAGAAGCATGCTATTGACTATGAAAAAAATATTACTTACTGTCACATATTGGAAATATAGATGAAACTCTTCAGTAATGTTTGATATGAAAGGAAATAAAGCAACTTATGTGAAAGGGGAAAAAATGGCTCGAATAAAAACAACAGGTCTTGAAAACTCTCACCTCACTGTAGTGCTTTCTTGCTTAGCAGATACTAGTACAAAATTAAAACCCATAGTTATTTTTAAAAGAAATACGATGCTGAAATTTAATTTCCCCTTCATGTTCATGAGAAAAGATGGATAGAAGAAAACGGTGTGAAACTGCGGATAAGAAATGTCAAAAGCATTCTGTTGCATTTAAGAATCCAGAAAGTTTTTTAGTTTGGGCCATTTCAAATACCATCTAATGAATAATATGAAGAAGTTGGTGAAAGAGTGCAATGCAGTTATGGCTGTTATTCCAGGCAGATTAACGTCCTCAGTGAAGCCTTTAAATGTGTGTATCAATAAAATATTCAAAGTAAACTTAAAATGACAATGAAATATGTGGATGTTGGAAGGTGAAAAAACATTTATAAAAGGAGGCATCATGCCAGTCAAGAAATAGAGTGAATAATAGGGGCATAGAATGAAATTAAACCCAGCATAATTCAAGTGTCATTTAAAAACAGGTAGTACATTTGTTTAACAATATAGATGGAATGCAAGATGTTTGTTTCTTTATTTATGAATCAGAGTAACAGTGACGGTAAAGATGAAACAGAACTGGATGGTACGCTTGAAGATATAACACAGGGTTCGTACACATTTCTGTGCATGGAAATTAAGGACTTTTAAGAACCATTAATGAAAAAAATTAAGGACCTATGAGCAAATGGGAACTGAATAAATTCAATTAAAAATATTATTCTATGCCTGAATTTCACTTTTGTAATACCATCCTAAAAATAGATCCCTAAGTAGTATGCATTATTACTAAACATGAATTAACTAAAATAATTATTAATAAGTTTGAGAATAAAATAAACTTCATGCAGTTTATCAAGTAGCATTAAATATTTTACACTTATAATAGTTGGACATATTTAAAAGAAGATAAGAGACATTTACATTTTACTAATGGTTAGCTTTATGTTTTTTTTTTTTTTTTTTTATGTCTTATTTTGTCACATACTTGGTCAGTCTAGAGGTTTAGCAAATAGTAGGGAGATTTTATGTCAAACGGCATAGATTAAAATGAGAAGTGAGATCACAATCAGCATGATTCACAACAAAAGACTGAATGTTATCCCTCTGCTGTTTGTCTATAGAGAGACCTGCTGATTGGAACAAAACTGAAAGGCCTGATGTAGGCATGGTTGGCAAGTGTTGAAAGTTAGTCAAGCTCTGCTTAATGCAGTTAATGCCATAGCTTTGTGTAGAGTTCCAGGGGTTGTAACCCAGTTAATCCATTAACTGCCAAAACTACAAGGAATGTTTCTTTTCTCATGAAAATAATAACAAATATTAAATTAAACATTTATAACATAAATTTACATTGAAAATTTAAAAAAATGCTCTTACCAGTGGAAAAAGCGAGTATTGCGTTCGCGCAACGTCAGCGGAATAAGATTACGGATGTTTAGTGAGTAGGATTGTACTCGTGTGATGTTTCTTTTGAGTGGAGTGCTGGATTATGTTTTAGCTGTATAACATTTTATAAATCTACAAATCACTTTACTTGTAATTAATTTAATATTAAAATATACATTGTATTTCTTTTACAAATACAGATTATTTCATTTGAAAGATTCAAGCATGAAAAGCTTGATTACGATCATGATATAAAGTTACATTACATACTTTGCATCTATAAACAGTCTGGCTATGGTACTCTTTACAACAAAGTATTTTGTTATCAACGGACTTTACGATAAATGTCTACCATCTCCATGAAATGGTTTTTGAATGCTGAATTTACTAGGTCTTCCTGTTGCTGATCTATTTCTGGCTAATTCTACACTCTCAATAGGAGTTTGCTAAAGAAATAATGCATTCTCGCGTCTGAAATCTAAAAGAGAATTTATATTTCTAGTAGTAAAATGTGGTGATATTTAGGAAGTTTACATATGGTCTCACCTCATATAAGTTATCAATATTGTCAATTTGACTACTGTCAAATGCAAATTCTGCTTCATATTCCTGTACTGCAAACGTGATATCAATTCTCATACAACAGGAACAGAAATGTCCTTATCAAAAGACCAATACATTTTTTCTTGAGGTAAAGAATGATATCCTGTAAGCAATAATATTCCAATAAATCTTCTCATATAGGCTTCAGATGCAATAAATTCTGGGCTTTTTTTTAAAATTTTGCTGAGCATATATATTTGTCTGTTCAACGAGAAGAGAGTAAATGTCTACACCAAAAAGAAAATCGAAAATCTGTGCACTAGTTTTACCTTGTGTTTTGTCTTTTATAATTTCTCTTCTATCTCTTTCTTCATGTTCTTCCTGAGACATAACTAACAGTTCCTTTTTTATCCTCTACAAGATTTCAGTCTTCTACTTTTTAAACTTTTTACTGTCATTATTAACATTATCATCATCTGTTTCTTCATCAAAAAATCTTTGAAGGTCTTCTAGGTCCTTCTTGAAATTTTTCTAAGAACCTCGTTCTAGGCATTTTTGACACAAACAGAACATGAACTAAGAACATCGAAAGGAATGAGTGAAAAAGGAGATTGACTACCCTCATTTCCTGCTGACGTTGTGTCAATGCAACACCTGTTTTTTCCCTTACTTCCCAACACAAATATAAACATCTGACTGATGTAATGTTCTGGATAAAGGATGACCTTGACTAAAAATAGATCACTCATAAAGACGGCAATTCTTTCGTTAAATATTTTCAGCAAAAATACCCAGTTGGAAATTTTGCTTAAAGTATGAGATTAATTATTATAAACAAAATGATTGTTGAAGGCAAATATTTTTTATAGATATAATCTTCATAATATTCCATACACAAAATCATCTGCTGGTATAAAATATCTTAGGTAGTTATATTTATATACGCATTTATTTTGACCGTTGCATCAATGCAACACCAGCGGCTAATGGGTTTAATATACTTTAAGGTTCCAATAAGCCATTAAAGCGCCAGAGATGATAAGTTGTTTTATATATAAGTCTCAGTAAATGCAAAGAATAAGTTTTACTTGATGGTGTTAATGGTTACTTGATGGGTGTTGGATGATGTAATCTGAGACAATTACCTGGAAAAAACGCTTACTATGAAAAAATTAAAAAGAAGACATTTTAATTAATTACATAGCTAATTTTGCTTTTACTAAGAGCTGTTACGTAAATTATGCTTTATAGCTATATACCTTGTTTATTTTTCAGATTTAAAATATTGTATAATAAGTTGCCAAAATGAAACTTTATAATATGACAGCGAAAAATAAAAATGTTTTATTTTAATGTTATTTTTTAAATATAATTCTAATATATTACCATTATTTTAATGAAATTTATCAATGTGTCATGATGTTTAAAAAAATCGCCGAAAAAATTTATCAGATCTTGGAATTAAAAATTTTCTATGGAGAAACTGATCTTAAAATTGCACCAAAATGTTGACAAGTCACTAAATTTAGAACCCATTGAATAAAAGAATTCACAGCCCCAAAAGCGAAAAGTTGTTTAAGAGCTCTTTATTAGAAAAAATGAAATTTCGAAATGCTTATTTTTCACTTCTTGCTTAGCTTAAACTCGAGTATCCCATCATTTATATTAGAGATAGAAACAAATTATAACCCATGAACCCATTCAAAAGATAACCATATACATCAGTCAATTGCCAAAAATATTCCTCCAAAATGCTAATTCACACTCAAAATGGCAGTCGTAAAAACAGAGAGAAATTTCAGATGATTAAAATTAAGGATCTTCTACTGATTTTGGCCAAAATTAAGGACTTTTAAGGACCAAAAATCAATTTCAAAAAATTTAAGGGCTTTTAAGGACTATTAAGGACCGTACGAACCCTGTAACAGAAGTTAAATATGATGAACTTTTCATGTTATTAGATAATGAAAATTTTTAAGTTCATAAAGGTATGCTATTTCTTTTAACTAAACAACATGGAAATACAAGAAGAAATCTTAACTTTTGTATGCTCATCTTTTCTTTATTTTTTGAAGCTATCATTTTTATATTCGACATATAACATGCACTAGTAAACTTCGATCTTATTTATATTAAAAGTGCATGTTACACGCTTGAATATACTGTACATAATTTGATTGGATCAGATAATATTTCAGAAATTCTGTATGAAAGAAACATAAGATTAAATTATCAAGTGGTTATTACAAACAGCATGTTCAGGTTTATAATGTAAGGTAAGAAAATGGAATCTGACAATTATGGTTGTGACAGGGTTTCTTTAAATCAGGTAGCTGTAGCATAAAGAAAAATCAGAATTCAAAGAGGTAACAATTACTGGAATTCGTGGAAGCACCTGGAATAAACCAGTAAATGTAATTCTGTGACTATATGGACATTTGTGTTATTAGTTTCTTGAACATTTGCATTATTATTATAACTAATAAAAAAAGTTTCCAACAAGACATATTATGAACCTCAGCATAGAATAATCATCTGTGCACCTAAGTTTTCCTTTCAGCTGTGCACAATGTGTATAGCACCACAAAAGGAACATTAATTTATTTTTTATATTTTGTTTTGTATATTTAATTTAGTGGAATGCTACCCTTTTATGAAAAAAAAATTCTACAGAATTATTTTATTTTAAAGACCCCATTCAACCACGCAAAAAATGACTCAAAAATTATTAAATACATATTCAAAATTTGATATGCCAAGACAGATAAAAAAGCAAAAAACAGTTTTCGGTAATTTAAAATTTGACTTATCAAGAAAAGTTAATGTTAATTTAAATTCCTACCTTTTAAAATTTGATTCAACTTATCAAAAACATATCAAAGTTTTACTGCAAATTTTTAAAACAACATTTATTTTGCATTCCCATTTAACCACTGTCAAGGATTCCACCTAATCAGAAATTCTAAGTTTAAATTTTGCTTAGTTTTAAACTTTAATCACCATTTCTTAAAATTATGTTCACAAAATATTAAGTAGCAAAAGACTCTTCAGATGCTAATTTGTGGTGGTCTTATTTCTTCAAAGATACTTATTTGTGAATTTACAATTCTTGATGAAATTTTTTTCATAAATCAATTTAAAAAAGAATTAATGTGACAAAGAAACTAAATTTGACAATTATAACAATTATTTCATTAATAAAGTACTAACAATTATAACATATATTAAATACTACAGAACCTCATTTACTGTGATATAGTAATTTGAAAGGCATTTTGTTTCCTTTGGGTTAAAGAAGGATAACCCATGATCAAACCTCCCTTCATAAAATCCATAAATGCCTGCCTTTTATAAAAAACATCATTTCTAACATTTTTAGAAAAAATAAACTGTAATAAAGAAATCATCTGATAAAATGTTAACAGAAAACAATTTAGAAAGGATTACACAATGGAAAACACTTAATTCAAGTATTAAAGCAAATATTATATAGATAAACAAGATCATTAATGTAACTAATTATAACAACAAACATTAAATACAATAGAATCTCATTTATCAAAATTAAACACAGTGCAGAAACTTTGGATAATAGACTCTTTTAGGGGGAGTAACACATAATCAAGTTCATTTTTATGAAAATTAGGGGTGGCACATTTTTACCAATAACGTTATTTTTGAATTTATTTAAATAAAAGTATAAACTTCAAAATTTCCATTTACTATTTAAAACTATTTACTGCTTTCCAAAACTATTTTTAAATCACTTAAAGAAAATATGCATTAGTAATTAGGAAAAAAAATAATAATAACTAAATTTTGATCAGAAGGTTCCGATAAATCACAGTTGGAGACTTTACTTTCATGATTGGGAATACACTTAATTTTGGTTTTACACGACAGATACATTCCAGAAAAATACATGTAAAAAAAGACATTGTATTTATGGAAGAAAAGAACATTGATTCCGGTTATAAAAAATTAGCAAATTTAAAAAAAAAAAAAAAAAAACGCTTGAAATATTTGATTTACTCTTATTATTTTATTTCAACAATATATATGCGTAATAATACAGGATGTGGCAAAAGAACTCCCTGATTCGGGAAGTACATAAAATCCAAACCAAATAAAATGTGAACATTTTTTTGTTTAAATTCTTTGAAAGTGCACATCAATTTTTTTTTTTTTTTTTTTTTTTTTACAAAACATTACTCAGCTGGTGTCTTTCATTGTTTATCCTGTTGAATCAGATTCTGGTTTGGTTTATTTGGCAAAGCACTCAAGAGCTATCTGCCTAAGGGGGCAGATGCTTTCTTGAAGGACTTCCTAAGGAAAATTGGAACACATATGCATTACACAAGGGAAAACCACAAAAGTGCCCATGCAGCCAACAGGTTCATAGGATTCAAACCTTGGACCGACCAACTAGTGATCAGCAACTTAACTACTCAACCGCTGCTGGGCTCCTGTTATATCAGACAGTTGCACCATTCGGATTCTTTTAAAACACTTTCTGTGACCTCGTGGAAAAATGAGCACAGTCTCCTCTGGCGCTGATGTTTCACAGGGTTTATAAATGAATTCTGTTACTACAATTCCTTCATCTTTTGGTTAGACAGGGATCTAATACTAACTTCAGTTCCTGTTGAAACTTTCCAGAGCATTCCTTATTACAGTCATGTTATAAAAACTGATTATGCAATTTTCTGACCAATTCCAGACATTCTTTTATTATTAAATAAAATTTTCATTTAGAACTGGATCATTTTCTACATTATCACTACATTCTGTGAGATCAGGAGTCTCAAGGACAATCTCTAATAGTTCATCTTTGCTTAGAGCTTTGTCGACTAATAATTCACTAATATCTTCAAATGACAAATCATCAAATTACTAATTTAGTCTTATTACTAATTTTAATTACTAAATTAGAAGTAAATTTATATTTGTAAAGAGAAGAAAAAGTAGTAATAAATAAACAAACAAAGAGTAGATTCTTACTTGAGCAATATCTCTTCCTATACAACAGAAATTGAAGAAATTAATGTTGACAAGATCAGGCCCATAAACAACAGTAATGGTCTTCTCTTCCAAAGGAATATCCTGAGGTCCCATAGTGACAGAATCTCGTAGTTTACCTTCCTAAATTAATAACAAACAATAAGCTTAAACTAGAAATCAACGCATAATTTCTCTATTTTTGTACCATCAAATATGAAATTTGCAAAATCATATATTTTGAATTTATTTCTACACCCAAAAAAAAATTCGACTTACTCTTGGGACACGAGCATATCTTCCAGTTCTGATATCTCTAACACTTGAGATTTCAAGAAATTCTGTTTCCTATTTTCAGAAGACATATTTCACTTTAATTTTCATTTCTTTAGAAATAAAAGTGCTTTTCTATTAGCGGGATGCCAGCCAACAAATGTGGTAGCCTGTTTACATCACATCAACAATAGATCACAAGATCATTGCAAATACATACGAAGATTTAACATCAATACAGTTATTTCCCGTCATAGAATTTCAACTGTCTTTGTGTTGAACTGCAGTTAATCATCCTTCAACAGATTTTTGCCCAATGCAAAATTTATGCAATTCTCTGATGTTTTTTTAAGCAAAAATAGATCACAGTGTACACAGAAAACCAATTTCCTTTACCCCGTAAACACAGAAATCTGTTTTTGCTAAATAAAAACAACTGGATTGCAGAATTTGGCATTGTATGCAGCCTTCGCATAACAAGCATTAAATATTACACATATATATTATATTCATTATATGGAAAAGCTATTATTTTCATGAAGCTTTATATCACTAAGGCTCCCACCATTTAATTAGATTTCATGCCAACATTCATGTTTGACACTAAATGGCATCCCGGTAACAGAAAAGAACCAAAATAAAATGCAAAAATTCAGAAATAAATGAAAATACATAGAATCAAGTATAAAAAAGAAAACAAGAAATTTTGTACTTCTTTAATTAATATAGATAAATTTATATCAGTAAATAAAAAAATACTTTAGTCAAAGAAGTAACCAATGTTTTCTGTATTCTACAACTTACTTGTTCCTTCGTTACATGTTACACATCTCTTCAAAACTTTCATGTAATATGTACATTATTACAAATGTAAATTTTGAATTTAATACTGCAAAACAAAGTCTTAGTAATTTCTGCATATATTAGCTGGTATCTGATTCCAGCCATTCTCAACCACGTTTCAACCTTTTAAGGTCAGAATGGAGACAACGAAATCAATAACAAAATACAAAAATAATTGTTCATTTAATGAAAATACCACATAAGACTACACTTTTTTTTTAGTATTGCCCCAACTTTAAACACTCAAAAACATGAAATCCACTAGGAAGCTTCTTATTTTCTATGTAGTTTCATTTTTGTTTTATTTAAAAGTATAATGTAATACTTGAGAAATGATGAACATACTAAAAACATTGCTTCATCCTTTGGAAGTCAATTATGTATGTTAACATTGAAAATATTAAATGACATTCAATGCCCAAGTTCTTTAACAAAAAGAAGCAAAACGAAATAAATATTCATAAATGCACCGTTGCCATTCCTAGTTACACGGCATTTCCGACGCTATCATGTTTAGACATTGAAAAGCTTCACTGAGATGATCCCAAACCAAGCTAAAATATCAATGTGTCCAATGAAGAAATGTATGCTAATGTCGAGGAATGCATGATGGAAAATAAATAAGTAACAGTTTCTTAAGATTGCTACAAAAATGGAATGATTATGTCATGTTGGATGAATGGGATCAGTCCCTGCATGAAAAGTTGGGGATGTCAAAGGTCTGCATCAAATGGGTATGCAGAATGTGGATGCCAGAAATTAAAAAACATTTGGTCAAATTGTTATCAAACATTTTTTTTAAATAATTTTCTCCTTCTTTATCACATGCATTCATGGGATGACTGAAAGCACAATCAGCTAGTAATCAGAGGTCCAAAGTTCAAATCACAGTGAGGCATCAGGTATCATTAACTTCTCATTCCCCACTCAAAAAAAAAAAAAAAAAAAAAAAGTCCAAAGAAGTGCCACCAGAACTAAAATGGAATGAATAGGATTTGGTGATGGGGGTTTCCTCCTTCCCAATCACCCTTCAAAATGAAAAAATGTAAAGAGTATCCACAGTCTTTAATTATGCCTTATTAATTATAAGTGAAAGCATATATGGTTAGTACATGGTAGTTTGGAGTTCATATTCCCACAAAGGCATTGTTCACTCTTTATGGTTCCTGCTGGCTGTTACATATTTTCCATGAGACTCGTTAAAAGTTACATTCATGACTAGAACTAGGGAGAAAAAATAGACTTTACTATTACGACACAGAAACAAAAATGTCAGTGTAATACAGAGGGTTCTTAGCCCAAGTTCAGAACTCGTAATACTGCTGGGAGGATACCGGGCACATTTTTGGGATAACAAGGGTGCACTTAATGATTGTATGCCTCATACTATCACAATAACAAGATCTGTTATACTAACCTATTGACTCAACCCTGACAAGTCAAATGTAATAGCCAAACTCAGCAGAAAAATACTGCTTTGACACAACAATGTTCCAGCATACAATGCCCAGATTTTCCACACAATATTTACCAATATAAGATTTAAGCTTCTCTACCACCAGCCACTTCACTAGACCTAGCCCCAAATAACTTCTTTTTATTTAAAAATTTTGAGATGTACTTAGATGGTTCACATTAAAAAGACTAAGATGATTTGAAAGATGACATTCAGAAACAGTTTGAAGGAAGCAACATTTTTTTTTTTTTTTTTTTGTGCTGTGATCTACTGCTTAATTAATTGTTATGCAAAGCTCAATGAAATAAAATCAAATATGATAAAAATATGAAAAGTAATTAAGTAATTTTAGACAATTATCTTGTACAAATGTACTTAACTTAATATTTATTGAATGTTTCCATAAAAGCTATACTATCTAGTATCGAAAAAAGAGTGGTAGCCCAGCAACTAAGTTACGGTAGAGCATAATATTACCTTAAAAACACACTACAGTCAAAAGTCGTTAATTCGGACCTCAAAGCTAAAAACTTTCTGCGCATGCGCCGCGTTGACACATGCGCATAGGCGTTTACGCGTGCGCGTAAAACCTTTTACCACTGCGCATATGCGTGTGCGCAAGCGCAGAATACGTTTTCGCGTGCGCGTTTTATGTATAACAGACGGTATAATCTAAAATTATCTATTTCAGTTAATGTTGATGATTGCGTTGTTCCTTAATCTTCGAATTGGATCCGGCTTATTATTTTTTGCAGACTGTAAGAGCAATTTTATAAAAGTAAACTTGAACTTTCGATTACGTCAAATAGAATTTCCGATTCGGGAGCTCCCAAAGGATCGTACAAAACGAAAGTATGTTTCGATGTCCATCAAACAAAAAGTGGAATTGCTGCAAAAAATGGATAAAGACATGAAGAATGTGACAGAGAGGTTAGTAAAAACGAAAAAATTTCGATTGACAAGTTAGTCGGTATTCTTGGCACAACAATTAACAGGACTTGAACAGCGGAACTTTGTAACTGAACAAGAAATTGTGTCTGTTTATAGAATTAAAGAGAAAGTATTATCACATAAAATGAAGCAACTTAAAACAACTTATATTAAAGAATGTTTAATATAAGTAAACCAATAATATTAAGCTTTTTTTTTTTTTTGTAGATTTTGATACCCTTTAGATTATAATTGTTCTTTATTTCATAAATTAAAGTTTCATATTTTTAATTTTAGAATTTCTGCATGCTATTTTACGAGATTTAAACTGATGATCTATAATCCGGAAAAATCGATTATCCGGAATCGCCGAAGTCCGGATTAACGACTTTTGACTAGTTACGGTAGAGCATAATATTACCTTTAAAACACACTATTTACAATACATATATTATTGAATATAAATGCTAATCCCGAACTCGCACAGGGGGTTTTATTGTCTGCCCTACATGTGACTGTTTTGCAGGAAACTTGTTAATTTTAGGAGGTAAGTCTGTTTGGAGGTTTGAAAGGTTGTCTTATTGACGTTGTTGGTTGCTTCGTAGTAATGTCTGGTGTTTGCAAGAAATATGCAGGCTTTAATCTATCAACAGACAGTGTAACATCTCTGTAATTAATTTTTACTGTAAAATATTTTTCTTTTCTGTCATCCACTTGAAAAGGACCAGCGTAAAGGAGTTCTAATTGCTTTTTAACTCTGTCTTTGCGAATAAACACATGTGATGTTGTTTCCAAGTCTTTAGGGACGAATATTTTTTGGACATATTTCTCGGATACTGTTCTTGGTCCAATTTTTTCCATAGTTTCTTTTTAGCTGTTTGACAAAAATATCAGGTGGTGTAGGAGTTGTGCTATTGTGGAAAAATTCTCCAGGTAATCGTATATTTTGTCCATAAACCATTTGAGCAATGGTTTATGGACCATTTATTGAATATTTTGTAGACAGTCGCACGGATTTTGCGATTTTTTTTGGCGAGTAATACTATGGTACACCCATTGCTGGACAACTTATTTATGGTAACCGATACTTTGTTGTCATTTTATTTAAAAATAATGCCTTTTATTATGCATAAATTCCATGTTTTAAATATTATTTATGACTTCTAAATAATAAAAATGAATTTAATTTTGCATTTTTATTTGAAATAAATATTTTATTGTTTATGATATTTTATGGAATTTAATGTTGTGAATGATGTAATGAATGACGTCACATTATTTTAAAATTGGTTTTAATATCTATAAATTTAATCTAACGTTTTAAACATTATTTATGGCTGTTTAATATTAAAATACAATTTAATTTTGCATTTTTTAAATATGATTTTATTATGAATGATTATCTAAACAATTTTAATTCTATACATGATGTAATCAGCTCCCTGATTGGTTATTGAATATTTGTGCATTACCGCGCAATTTTAAAATTTTATTATTCATCTCTTCGAATTCCTCAGATTTCAAAGCGAATGGATGTGTCCGTTTCGAAGATGAGTGATGTTATTGGTAATTACCAAGAATTATTGGTATCGGAATAAAAAAATTGCCGTTTGAGACCTTATTTTGGCCAACCTGGCTTTCCTAATCAAAGATTTATTTATTGTTACAAGGGTCAGAGGAAATTTATTTTAAATTTTTGACGGAAACCTCGCTAATTGCTTCTTCAATGAAGTACGAGAGATGTGGATCACAGATGAAGATCATTTTTTTCCCTGGTACTTATCAATATACGACAGGTAAAATACTTTAAAAAAATGTAAGTACATATTTTTTTTTACTTTATAAT